AAAACCAATTGAGATCTCCCCCTGCATTACACAAGGCACTCACCACGAACACATCTTTGAAGAAGGCGGAAACCTTCGCGCTTAGCCTCCAAAATCGCGTCTCTGAATTGAAACGCCCGCAAACGTGGGGGCGAAACCCACGTATCGCGATAGACGGGAATACAAGACGAATCCGCTAGAAAGCCCTCAGGGCTACACCGAGGCGCACAAGCGAGATAAGAAAGCAAGACGCTGCTAAACTATTCCAGAACATCTAGAGAATCGATGGACGTAATTCTTGAGTGCCATCGTTGTGATCTAAGTTACTGCACATGTGGTTGATATGGTACTCGAAACTTGCGGGATTAATCACACAACCAGGGGTGTACAAACTGGGTGACAACAACACGCAAACTTTATGCCAGCAGTGCGCAAACTTGAGAACGTGAGCACACACTTCAAGACAACAACGCACAATTTGACAATGTATAACTATCAGCCAGCGTTGACTCCAAATAGATAGGAGGACAGAAGGAGGACGAGAGGAGGATGGGAGGAGGACGAAAGGAGGACGGGAGCAGGACGGGAGGAGCAACATCAAGCAAGCGCAAGCACGCAAGCGGAAGCAAGCAAGCGCAAGCGAGCACTAACAGGCAAGCAAAAGCCAGCGATCAGGTACAAGCAAGCAAGGGCAAGCAAGAGCAAGCAAGCGATAGCAAGCAAGCAAGAGCAGGCATAGGCATAGGCATAGGCATTTGAGATAGGGGGGAGGCATAGGCTTAGGCATAGCCATAGGAGTTAGGGGGGGGGGGGGCATTGAAATTTGGAGGGAGGGGACTGGGGCAACGGACCAATTAGTAGGGTTTGGATTAGAACTCCTATAGGGCAAACCTATTTGGATAATAACGCACACTTGAAGACAATAGTGTACACTTTGAAACGCTACACAACCTGTTAACATAAAAATAATGCACACTTGAAGCACAGTGCAGAACAACAGTACGCAAACTTTAGAACACACATGTACACATTAGACAGCCAGTTCACTATTTCAGACAACAGAGCAAAACAGACGACATCACAACAACACACAACTTGAACAATACTACGCATACACAGACAACGATCTATATTTTTCCAGAGCCGAAAATATGTTGTATGACAGTGGACCATTTTATGTTTAGAACACAATAGATTTTAGGACACCATGCACACTGTAAAATACGGATGCGTTTTTGTTGGTCCGATCTGCCTCGCGACAACATTTGCTTCTCACATCTCTTCCGGGTGCCGAAGGCGCACGGCTGCCCGGCAATGGCCTCCATCTCCCCCTCCACCTTCCCCCCATCCTCAAATAGAACCGCGCGCGCGCTTCGCGCGCGCTTGGGTTCTAGCGCATGCCATGGCGTTGTTAGCTGTGCGTGCTTTTCGGACCGGCTCATTCCATGCCTTGCCTTACCTCGTCCTCCAATATTCCTTATACGTCCCTCCTCGTTAACCCTCCAGCCTCTCTCGAGTGTCCTCGCTTTTCGTTTCTCCTTCTTATCGAGGGCCTCCTCTTGCTTGGGATCATGCGGGGGCTTGGAGCTGTTCAGGGCCGGCGTGGGGAAATACTGAACATGAAAAGGGATGGCTTGAAGTGTACGGGTTTCTTGTGGATCTTCCTGCTTGGGCTGCCTTGAAAGCCTTGGGGGCCGCTTGGGGCCCTCTTGGCCTCTTCTTCGAATTCGTGGGGCCGTCTCGAGCCTCGGCGCCAGGTGAAGATCTCCCGAAGCCATCCGAAGGAGACGAGCGTGAAATTTACTGGATATTGAGAAACCTGAATGTTTTTTGCGTTTATGGCTCTCTGGGGTCATTTGGGAGGGCCTTTGGGAGCTCCACCGGGGCATCTTGCGGCCCCTGGGGGCCGCCTTGAAACATCTTGGAGCGTCTTGGACCGCTAAGGGGCCATCTTGGCGGCCAGCGGGCGTCCTCCTGAACCAGCTCGGAACCCTCTTCAGGCCGAAAGAATCACCCAAAGACCCCAAAGCGGATCCCGGAGCCAAAGGGGGGGCAACTGGGTTGCGACGGGGGGGGAGTTTGCGAAAAGTGGGCCACCCCAGGGCCACCGCCAGGTCCCCTCCCCCATGGGCGGTCCCGTCGTCTTTGTCCGTCGTCCGACGTCCGTCGTCCGTCCGCCCGCCATGTTGTTTCTCTATGATAGCTCTGCCGCTGGGATCTTCTCTCGCTTGTTCTCTCAGCAGAAGGTGCTGGGGATGCAGCGGACAGTACTTTACATGAGCTGCTGCATTGGGCTGCAGGTCGCTGGACACTGCTGCGTAAAAGGCGCTGTTACCCTGGGCTGCAGTGCCCCGCAACTAAATACCCCAGCATGATTTATCCCACACGGCACTTGAACGAGAGATGGACATGCTTGGTTCGCGCATGAATTCTCTGTCCTGAATCCTGAATGAATGAGCGTCTAACCCTCCTGAGTGAATGAGCATCTAACCCAAACCCAAAATTCCCGCATTTCTTGGGGCCTTCGGAGACTCCTCGAAACCGTCTTGGGGGCGATCCGGGGCTCTCTGGAGCAGCCTTGACGGTGGTTTTGGGCTGATCATGGGAATACGCCTGGGTTGTGGGCCAGAGGCTTCATGCACGTATCTTGTGTCTCATTGGAAGTCTCTCGGAGCACAATTTTGGGCCTCTTGCGGGGGCTTCGGAGTCTCTTGGAGACTAGTTTGGGCACTGTTTTGGGTTTCCTGAGGGCCTCCCGGCCCTTGGGGGTCCTTCTCGGCGGCCTCGTGGACTGTCTTGAAGGCCTTTGTGGCCGTCTAGGAGCAGCCTTGGGCTGTCTTCGACCGCTCGGGGGCTGTCTGGAGGCCATCTCGGTGCGCTCTTCAGCCATCTTCCAAACATCCTGGGGCGCTTGGGGAGCCTCTTGGGCCAGCTTGGGGGCCTCTGTGGGGGTCCAGGGCCCCCCTTGTGGGACGTCTTGGGGCGATCTTGAGGGCCGTCTTGGAGGCCTCTTGGGGGCCTCTTGGGATGTCTTGGGGCGATCTTGGGGTTCTCTGATGCCGTCGTGGACGCTATTCATACTTCCCTGGAGAATTGGGGCGATGTTTGTAACTTGCGGCCGTCATAGGTGTCCTCTTGGAGCCCTCAGGGGGGTTTGTGGGGCCTCCCGGGCCGTCTAGAAGTCATCTTGGGCGTCTTGGCGCGCTCTTGAACCGTCTCGGAGACCTCCTGGACCGTCTGGGGAGCGCCTTCGGGCCTTCCGAAAGCGGGGGGTGGCCCGTCGAGCCCCAGGAGGCCTCTCCAGGCGGCCACAGAAGGCCTCTCCAGGGAGGTCCGGAGGCTTGTTCGGTAGAAGTCCAGAGGTTTGTTCAGTTCCTGTTCGGGGGTTTGCTCGGTTCCTGTTCTGGGGTTTGTTCGGTCGAAAATCGGAAGATGGTTCAGGAGTTCGTGGGTTGGCTGTAAATTCCATGCGGTCGGCTTTGGCCTCGCCCTTGCCACGGTTGGGCCAGAACTCAGGCTTGTTGCACTTGCGTTCCAAGGTCTGGGCCAAGCGCGTGGTCTGGACCTCCATCCGCGGGAATGCGTGAAGAGCGGCCAGGGCTGATTTTTTACGACCGCGACAGTTACCAATGGCAGGGTTGTGTGCTTGAAGTGATCCACGCGTTGGCGGACTACCATGGATGAGAAGATTGTGGCGCCAGCGGGAAACCTGCCGATCTCTGCTCTGCCTATGTATTGAAAGTGGGAAGAGCGGCCAGGGTTGATGCCGTGATAGGCGCCCCGGGGGTCTTAACCACGGTGGGAGCACCGAAATCCCGCCCTGCGGGCGCCGCGGAGCTCGTGCGCCCTTTCGTGCGGGGCCGCGACCCCGAACTGAACTTCTTCACGGCCAGCGCCGAGGACGGCACAGCCCCAGAGGATGTGCAGCGTGCCCTCGGCACCCGGCTGCAGGCCGCGGGACTGCAGCCAGAGCGCGTCACCCTCCACGGCCCCGGCCCTTGCCGGCAGTTTCGCGTCGAGGTGCACGGCGGAGTCGTGGGCAACGCCCGCGCCCTCGCCGTGGCCCAGGCCCCCAAGTTCCCCGAGGGAGGCAGAGACGGAGGAGGAGGAGGAGGAGGAGGAGGAGGAGGAGGAGGAGGAGGAGGAGGAGGAGGAGGAGGAGGAGGAGGAGGAGGAGGTTGAGGAGGAGCAAAGGGAGGGGGGAGGGGGAGGAGGAGGAGGAAGTGGAGGAGGTGGAGGAGGAGGGAGGAGGAGGAGGAGGAGAGGAGGGAGGAGGAGGAGGAGGAGCAAAGGAAGGAGGGGAGGAGGAGGAGGAGGAGGAGGAGGAGGAGGAGGAGGAGAAGGAGGAGGAGGAAAAGGAGGTGGATGACGAGTAGGAAGAGGAGGAGAAGGAGGAGGAGGATGAGGAGGAGGATGAGGAGGAGGAGGAGTAGAGGAGGAACAGGAGGAGGAGCAGGTCGCAAAACATGGTTGGATACATGACCTGGGTCGCGAAGCTGATTTTGCTCGGTTCTGGCATGTGCAGGGCAGGCACCCAGCCGGTCTGCCGACGCGTCCCCTCATGCGAAGCGGACGGCTGACCAGCAGCGCGGTAACTTGAAACTCCGCGCCAGCACCCTGCAACAAAGGTAATGAACCACATGAACGCTCAGATCAAGTTTCTGACCGGAGTCGCCCGCGAGAACCAGGCAACTCTTTGCGCTGAGGCCTCGCGAAGCCATAAGCGTGTGTACCTTGGAATTCAGCGGGTGCTTGTCTTGAACATCTGCTCAGGAGACTGTTTAATGAAGCTTGAATGCCGTTTGAGACCTGATGGGGCCGAGTCGCTCTTCTTTACTTTTTCATATTTGCGTTGCGCATAGCCCAGATAGATCTGTCGAGGACGTCCGATGCGCAACTGACCTTCCCCGAGCATCTCAAGCCACTGTGAAATCCACCCACAAGACCGGGCCATTGCAAACATTACCGTATACATTGATACAGGGATTCCGATAGTTCGTAAAATAATACCCGAATAGTAATCAACGTTGGGGTAAAGCTTCCTCTTGATAAAATCCGCCACCGCTCTGTTCAGCGGTTGGCGTGTGCGTCGGCCTCCTTGTTTGCTTCGTCAGTTCACTGTATTTGCCGTGCTGAGCAGCGCATCGAAGACGCAAGACGTGCCAACACATCGAGCCCAACATGCGTACATCTTCTGCTCCACATCCCGGCGCTGTGGCATTCTACACGTAACGTCAAGTCAACACACACACACACAATTGCTGGTGGGGCCCTCCCCAGCAAGGCCATTCCTGCCCCTCCCCTTCCCGCCTCCCTCCCGGCCCGCACATCGCGGTGGCGGATGCACGCTGCAGCGCAACAGGATACTCATCATCAAGCGCAATCTTCTCCAGCCCTTGGGCCAGCGGAAACAGGGGGTCATCAACGTTTGATGTTTGAAGGAGACTCGTACACAGTCTCTTCATTATGGTCGCACGAGGGTCGTAATTCTTGTAGACCCGATGGCCGAAACCCATCAGCCGCACTCCCTCTACCTTGTTTTTGACGTCGGACACGAACGCGCCCAGCTTATCCACAGATCCAATATTCTCGAGCATCCTCACGACTGCCTCGTTCGCGCCGCCATGGGCAGGGCCCCAGAGCGAGGCCACGCCTGCAGCTATGCAAGCATACGGGTTTGCCTGCGAGCTTCCAGCGATGCGTACCGTGGACGTGGATGCATTCTGCTCATGGTCCGCATGGAGAATGAGAAATGCGTCTACTGCTTTCTCGTGCGCCGGATCCACTTCATAATTGTTGCACGGCGTTGAGAACATCATGTGTAGAAAGTTCCCGGCATAAGACAGATCACCACGCGGATATACAATCGGCTGGCCAATGGCAGTCTTATATGCCATAGCTGCGAGAGTTGGCATCTTTGCAATAAGCGAGATGGCGGATGAGATCCGATCTTCCTTCCGAGAGAAGTCGAGGTTGTCGTGATGGAAGGCTGCCAGAGCACCACAGGCGGCTGTCATAATGGCCATGGGGGGCGCGCTGGAGTTGAAGCCTCTGAAAAATTCCTTGAACTTCTCATGCACGAGCATCTCGCTGTGCACCTTCTCGTCGTCGTCGTCCTCCTCCCAATCCACCCTGGTCCTCCTCCCCCTCCTGTTCCCATTAGGCTGAGTGTCGCTCCCCTCCTGGCACTCCGGCAACCCTGGTCTGCGACCAAGGTGGGGTTGGGCTGGGTGAGTGGGACCCCTCCGCGTCGCTCATGCGACCCTCTACAGAGCATCACTGCTCCGCTCCCCTTCCTCGGGAGATCGGGACGACAGCGGACGAGCCAGCTCTTGCTCGTGGACGGGCGCGTTGAGAGTGCCACTGGGCTGCGGGGTCGGAGTAGAGCAATGAAGGATGTCTAACTCCGAAGCTAGGGCCTCCTCCTTGTCTCTCTTCCCGTCTGGCCTCGTTTCCTCTTCCTCCTCCTTCTCCTCCTCCCCCTCTTTCTCCTCCTCCTCCTCCTCCTCCTCCTCCTCCTCCTTCTCCTCCTCCTTCTCCTCCCCCTCTTTCTCCTCCCCCTCCCCCTCCCCCTCCCCCTCCTCCCTTCCCCTCTGCCTGGGTCTGGCTGGAGTCGGATGTTCTTTCTATTACTCTTTCCCGGCTTGGAGTTGCGTCGGACCAGGTTTGTCAGAAGAGGGCCAGCCGTGACATCAGTAGCAGGCTTCGCGGGACCTCTTTGGCGATGACGGGCAGCGTCTTCTGTGCTGTGGACCAGCAGCGCTTCCCGTTCCAGTTCCAGTTACCGTTGTCTCCACTGGCTCTGCCCTGGCCCTCCTCTCCGTCTCTGCCCACCGCCTCGCGCTCTCTGGCCTCATCTCCGTAACTGCCCCGGCACAGGCCGCGCGGATCCGCACCCATAGCCCCGCCCACCCGGAGCCTCGCCAAGCCTGGCCATGGACACGAAGGCCCAGAGGACGCAGACCCCCCCACAAGTGACGATCACACGCTGGAAGCGCGCGAGTCCCGCGCTCGTGTCCGGGCTGCGCGCCGTGGCCCAAGCGCAGGCGCTGCGGCACCCCGCAGGGCCACACTGATACCCAGCCTTCAACCACCTCGTCAAGCAGGAGCGGGAACGCCCCCCCTGCGGGGCAGCGTGGGCCAGCGTGGCCGCCACCGGGAGGGCCCCTCCGGGGCAGCACGAGCTCGTCACGAAGGCGCCCATTGCCAGGCGCGGGCCTGGCCCGCGCGAGCGGAGCGCGCGCCAGCGCTGAGGCGGCCACGGGCCCACGCGGAGGCGCTCCCGTCGCGGGGGCTTCGGGCGAGGTTCGCCCGGCAGCGGCTCCAGACCCTGAGATCCGACGCTGCAAAACAAAGAATGCAACATTGCAAAACATTGTAATGCTTTGCATTGGTGTCCTTCGGGTTCCAGCCGTTAGAACGACTGGAACCCCGGGCCCCATCTTTCTGCGTCTTTTGTTCGAACCGTATCGGTCTGTGAGGGTCCCGGGGCCCGAACTTGAGCGAGAACGCGCGGCTCGAACAACATTGAGTCGCCAGGATCTCATGGCAGGCCCACGCGGGGGCGCGCGCGACGGGTGGCTCCGGGGCTGCTCGCCAGGCGCGGCCTCGGCCGCGCGGGCAGCCGCGCGGCGGGTGGAGCACCGGCCCCAGGGGCGGCCGATCTCGTCTGCCGCGCCTGCGCCGGCGGGGGCCGCAGGGCACGCGTCCGCGCCGCGGCCGGGTATGGTCCCACCCAGACCGCTTCGCCGGGTCGAGCGGGCAGCAGCCCTGGCCGCTGGGGGGCTGGGCGGGCCCCGGCCACGCGCAGGCCCAGCAGGCCTGGCAGGCAGGGGCAGCGGCCGCCCGCACGCTACGAGGCCCAGCAGCAGCAGCAGCAGCAGCAGCAGCAGCAGCAGCAGCAGCAGCAGCAGCAGCAGCTCCTCCTCCTCCTCCTCCTCCTCCTCCTCCTCCTCCTTCCTCCTCCTCCCTCCTCCTCTCCTCCTCCTCCTCCCTCCTCCTCCTCCTCCTCCCCCCCCCCGCCCCCGCCTCCTCCTCCTCCTCCTCCTCCTCCTCCTCCTCCTCCTCCTCCTCCAGGATCTTGTTCCAGGGAGGGCCCGGGGGAAAGACGGGGGGCGCGGTGACGGTCTACATGACCCTGGGCGGCAAAGTGCACACTGCCGCCAACGACGACCACGAAGAGGTCCTGCTCGGCAAGGAGTGGACTGAAGGACCCAGGACTGGAGGAGCGGGGGCTGGAAACCAGTCCCAGTCCCGTCCCGCCCCAGTCCCGCTCGTGGACACTGCGGGGGCCCCAGTCCCGTCGCCGCCCTTGCAGGCCGCCTGAGCATTGCTAAATAGACCTGCTCGCGTCGTGAAAAAACGGAAGGGCGTTTGTTCGCTATGTTCGGCCCCGGAAGGCCCTCGGGAATAAGGCCGATCCCAACCACGTCGTGCCGATCCCAACCATTTGGGGCGGATTCCAACCACCGAACAGGGGCCGATCCCAACGTGAAGGAATCCAACATAAATTCATCAATACGAACACCGGATTACGACCTAATTACAGTTTCTGTTCAGCCTCTGCGGAACCTCTGAAGCGTTCCACCAGCGCCTCCGCAGCGCTTCGCCAGCGCCTCCGAAACGCTCCAACAGCGCCTCCGATGCGCTTCACCAGCGTCTTTGAAGCGCGGTACATCAGCTTCTGGATGGCTTCTGAAGCGTTTCGCATGAGCTTCTGGAGGGCTTCTGAAGCGTTTCGCATGAGCTTCTGGAGGGCTTCTGAAACACTTCGCATGAACTTCTGGACGGTTTCCGAAGCGCTTGACATGATTATCCGAAGCGCTTCTCATCGGCTTCTGGAGAGCTTCTGAAGGGCTTCTGGAAAGCTTCTGGGGAGCTTCTGGAGGGCTTCTGGAGAGTTTCTGGATGGAGGGCTTCTGAAGCGCTTCGCAAGAACGTCTGGAGAGCTTCTGAAGCGTTTCTCATGATCTTGTGGAGGGCTTGTGGAGGGCTTCGGGGGAGCTTCTGGAAAGCTTGTGGAGGGCTTCTGGAGAGCTCCCGGGTGGCTTCTCATGAGCTGATGGAGAGCTTCTGAAGCGCTTCTCATGAGCTTGTGGAGAGATTCTGATGCGCTTACAATGAGCTTGCGAAGAGCTTCCGAAGCGCTTCAGAAGCGCTTCTCATGAGCGACTGAAGAGATTTCACTGCACCTCCGAAGCGGTTCTGAAGCGCGTCTGAAGCGATTCGGATGAGATCTAATAGTAGTAGGAGCAATTGTCGTATTAGTTGTCATGTGTCGAATCGTAGTCATAGTAGCAGTAGTAGTAGTAGTAGTAGTAGTAGTAGTAGTAGTAGTAGCAGTAGTAGTAGTAGTAGTAGTAGTAGTAGTAGTAGTAGTAGTAGTAGTAGGCGTAGTAGTAGTAGTAGTAGTAGTAGTAGTAGTAGTAGTAGTAGTAGTCGTAGTAGTAGTAGTAGTAGTAGTAGTAGTAGTAGTAGTGGTAGTAGTAGCAGCAGTAGTAGTAGCCGTCGTCGTAATAGTAGCAATAGTAATAGTAGTAGTAGTAGTAGTAGTAGTAGTACTAGTAGTAGTAGTAGTAGTAGTAGTAGTAGTAGTAGTAGTAGTAGTAGTAGTAGTAGTAGTAGTAGTAGTAGTAGTAGTAGTAGTAGTAGTAGTAGTAGTAGTAGTAGTAGTCGTAGTAGTAGTAGTAGTAGTAGTAGTAGTAGTAGTAGTAGTAGTGGTAGTAGTAGTACTACTACTACTACTACTAGTAGTAGTAGTAGTAGTAGTCGTCGTAGTAGTAGTAGTAGTAGTAGCAGAAGTAGTAGTAGTAGTCGTCGTCGTAGTAGTAGTAGCAGCAGTAGTAGTAGTAGTAGTAGTAGTAGTAGTAGTAGTAGTAATGGTGGTAGTAGTAGCAATAGTAGTAGTAGTAGTAGTAGTAGTAGTAGTAGTGGTAGTAGTCGTAGTAGTAGTAGTAGTAGTAGTAGTAGTAGTAGTAGTAGTAGTATGAGTAGTAGCAGTAGTAGTAGTAGTAGCAGTAGTAGTAGAAGCAGCAATAGGAGTAGTAGTAGTAGTAGTAGTAGTAGTAGTAGTAGTAGTAGTAGTAGTAAGAGTAAGAGTAGCAGTAGTCGCTGTAGTCGCTGTAGTCGTAGTAGTAGTTGTAGTAGTAGTAGTTGTTGTTGTTGTTGTAGTGTTCGCAGTAGTAGTGTTAGTAGTAGTAGTAGTAGCAGTAGTAGTAGTAGCAGTAGTAGTAGTAGTAGTAGTAGTAGTAGTAGTAGTAGTGGTAGTAGTACTAGTAGCAGTAGCAGTAGTAGTAGTAGTAGTAGTAGTAGTAGTAGAAGAAGTAATAATCGTAGAAGTAGTAGTAGTAGTAGTAGTAGTAGTAGTAGAAGCAGTAGCAATTCCAGTAGTAGTAGTAATAGTAGTAGTCGTAGTAGTAGTAGTAGTAGTCGTGGCATTGGTAACAGTAGTAGTAGTAGTCCTAGTAGTAGCAGCAGTAGCATTAGTAGTCGCAGTAGTAGTAGTAGTAGTAGACGTAGTAGTAGTAGTAGTAGTTGTAGTAGCAGTAGTAGTAGTAGTAGTGATAGTAGTAGCAATAGAGTAGTAGTGGTAGTGTTAGTGTTAGTGTTAGTGTTAGTAGTAGTAGTAGTAGTAGTAGTCGTAGTAGTAGTAGTAGTAGTAGTAGTAGTAGTAGTAGTAGTAGTAGTAGTAGTAGTAGTAGTAGTATGTGTAGCAGCAGTAGTAGTAGCAGCAGTACTAGTAGCAGTAGCAGTAGAAGTACTAATAGTAGCAGTAGTGGTAATAGTACTATTTGTTGTAATCGTAAGTGTTATCGTAAGGTTCGTAGTAAAAGAAGTAGTCGTCGTCGTCGTAGCGGTAGTAGTAGTAGTAGTAGTAGTAGTAGTAGTAGTAGTAGTAGTAGTAGTACGAGTAGTAGTCGTAGCCGTAGTGGCAGTAGTCTTATTAGTATCACTATTCGTAGGAGTAGTAGTAGTAGTAGTAGTAGTAGTAGCAGTAGCAGTAGCAGTAGCAGTAGTAGTAATAGTAGTAGTAGTAGTAGTAGTAGTAGTAGTAGTAGTAGTAGTAGTAGTAGTAGTAGTAGCAGTCGTAGTAGTAGTAGTAGTAGTAGTAGTAGTAGTAGTAGGAGTAGGCGTAGGAATAATAGTCTCGCTGGGTCGCCTTCCGCCCGGCCAGTCTTGCTAACGAGGCCGTGCCCGCGAACTCAAACTAGATCCGAAAGGGCCCAACCAACTAACCTTTTCATTGTCGTCGTCTTACTCCTCCAACTCCTCCTCAAACTCCTCTTCGTCCACCCTTCTCGTCGTTACCCTTCTCCACCCGCCGTTCATCCTGCTCGTCCCCCGCATCCTCCATGTGAACCTTTTCCGTGAAGTCCTTCAGCTCGTCGTCGCTGGGCAACTCCCCGAAGATGAGGAGATAGGCAACTTCCAGGAAGGTGCTACCTGAGGAGCAGTGCGAGGAGGAGGATGAGGATGATGATGATGATGAGGAGGAGGAGAGAACGGGGGATTGTGGCGGACCTCGCCTTTTCGGATGGTGTTTTCGTATAGTTTTCCTGAGGTTATCACATTGTTCCTCCTCTTCCTCCTCCTCTTCCTCCTCGCCTTTCTCCTCCTCCTCCTCCTCATCCTCCTCCTGTCTTCCTCTCCTCCTGCTACTTTTTTCTCTCTGCCCCCCCTCATAACACATATCCTGGCGAAGGACCCAAACATATGCAATTGCGGGTACCGCAGTTGTGAGCCCCGCCTTCGGTGGAGCTCCTTGTGGGGCCACAAAACGCGTGAGGGGTGTGCCGAAATGGGCGTTATGGCGCCATGCGAACCCTGCCAATGGGGCATTTGATGGAACTCCCTGTGGGGCCACGGAACATGTGAGGGGTGTGCCGAAATAGTGCGGGGCCGCCATTCAAACTTTGCCACTTGGGCCTTCGGTTGAGCTCCCCATGGGGCCACGAAACGTGTGAGGGGTGTGTGTGTGTGTGTGTGTGTGGGTGCCGAAATGGGCTCGGTTGCGCCATGCGAACCCTGCCACTGGAACCATCGGTGGAGCTCCTTATGGGGCCACGAAGCGTGTGAGGGGTGCGCCGAAATTGGAAGGGGCCGTCATGCGACCTTTGCCACTGAGGCCTTCGGTGGAGCCCCCCATGGGGCCACGAAGCGTGTGAGGGGTGCGCCGAAATGAGGCGGGGCCGCCATGCGAACTTTGCCACGGGGGCCTTCGGTGGGGCTCCTTATGGGGCCACGAAACGTGTGCGGGGCGCGCCCAAATGGGAAGGGGCCGTCATGCGAACTTTGCCACTGGGGCCTTCGGTGTGAGGGGTGCGCCGAAATGGGGCGGGGCCGCCACGCGAACTTTGCCACCGTGGCCTTCGGTGGAGCTCCCCATTGGGCCACGAAGCGTGCGACGGGTGCGCCGAAATGGGGCGGGGCCGCCATGCGAACGCTGCCATTGGGGCCTTCGGTGGAGCTCCCTACGGGGCCACGAAGCGTGTGAGGGGTGCGCCTAAATGGAGCGGGGCCGCCATGCAAATTTTTCCACTGGGGCCTTCGGTGGGGCTCCCTATGGGGCCACGGAACGTGTGAGGGGTGCGCCCAAATGGGAAGGGGCCGTCATGCGAACCCTGCCACTGGGGCCTTCGGTGGGGCTCCTTATGGGGCCACGAAGCGTGTGAGGGATGCCCCGAAATGGGAAGGGGCCGCCATGCGAACTTTGCCACTGGGGCCTTCGGTGGACCTGTATGGGGCAGCGAAGGATGCGCCAGAATGGGGTGGGGCCGCCATGTGAACTTTGCACTGTGGCCTTTGGTGGGGCTCCCCATGGGGCCACGAAGCGTGTGAGGGGTGCGCCGAAATGGGAAGGGGCCGTCATGCGAACTTTGCCACTGGGGCCTTCGGTGGGGCTCCTTACGGGGCCACGAAGCGTGTGAGGGGTGCCCCGAAATGGGGCGGTGCCACCATGCAAACTTTGCCACTGGGGCCTTCGGTGGGGCTCCCTATGGGGCCACGAAACGTGTGAGGGGCGCGCCGAAATGGGAAGGGGCCGCCATGCGAACTTTGCCACTGTGGCCTTCGGTGGGGCTCCCTATGGGGCCACGAAACGTGTGAGGGGTGCGCCGAACTGGCGCGGGGCCGCCACGCGAACCCTGCCACTGGGGCCTTCGGTGGAGTTCCGCATGGGGCCACGAAGCGTGTGACGGGTGCGCCGGATTGGTGGGCACGCGGGGAACGGAAGCACGACGCTGACGATGGCGATGTTGATGGCGCCGATGATGGCGATGGTGCCCACGATGATGGTGATGATGGTGATGATGATGATGATCATGATGATGATGATGATGATGATGATGATGATGCTGATGCTGATGCTGATGCTGATGATGATGATGATGATGATGATGATGATGATGATGATGATGATGATGATGATGATGATGGTGATGACGATGACGATGCTGATGGTGCGAGGGGGAGGGAGTGGGCAGCGGGAGGTGGAGGAGGAGGGAGACGCGGGGCGCTATCTCGTCAAAACGAGGACCCAACACCACAGGATGGTTGGGAATGATCAACAACAGAAAAGGAAGTTTTTTTCCCAACCAGCCTGTGGTGTTGGATCCTCGTTTTGAAGAGACGTCGCCCCGCGTTCCTCCTCCTCTTCTCTCCTCCCCCTCCTCCCTGCGTTTCACCCGCCCAGTACAGCGCTTCGTGGCCCCATAGGGAGCTCCACCGAAGGCCCCAATGGCAGCGTTCGCATGGCGGCCCCGCCCCATTTCGGCACACCCCTCACGAGGATCGTGGCCCCATAAGGAGCTCCACCGAAGGCCCCAGTGGCAGCGTTCGCATGGCGGCCCCGCCCCATTTCGACACACCCCTCACGAGGATCGTGGCCCCATAGGAGGCTCCACCGAAGGCGCCAGTGGCATGGCGGCCCCGGGCCATTTCGCACGTTTCGTGGCGAGCTCCACCGAAGGCCCCCAGGGTTTGGCGGCCTCGGGCCATTGCGGCACACCCCTCACGAGGATCGTGGCCCCATAGGAGCTCCAGCGAAGGCCCAAGTGGCAGCGTTCGCATGGCGGCCCCGGGCCATTTCGGCACACCCCTCGCACGGTTCGCGGCCCCGTAGGGAGCTCCACCGAAGGCCCCAGTGGCAGCGTTCGCATGGCGGCCCCGCCCCATTTCGGCGCACCCCTCACGAGGATCGTGGCCCCATAGGGAGCTCCACCGAAGGCGCCAGTGGCAGCGTTCGCATGGCGGCCTCGGACCATTTCGGCACACCCCTCACGAGGATCGTGGCCCCATAAGGAGCTCCACCGAAGGCTCCAGTGGCAGCGTTCGCATGGCGGCTGCCCCATTTTGGCACCCATAGGGAGGTCCACCGAAGGCCCCAGTGACAGCGTTCGCATGGCGGCCCCGGGCCATTTCGGCACACCCATCACGAGGATCGTGGCCCCATAAGGGAGCTCCACCGAAGGCGCCAGTGGCAGCGTTCGCATGGCGGCCTCGGGCCATTTCGGCACACCCCTCACGAGGATCGTGGCCCCATAGAGAATTCCTCTTGCTTCGTCCCACCTGCCCTGCGGTATTCACGTTTGCATATGGTTGGGTCCTTCGCCAGGATAAGATTTCCCAACCATCCTGTGGTGTTGGGTCCTCGTTTTGAAGAGACGGTCCCCGCGTCCTCCTCTCCTCTCCTCCTCTCCTCTCCTCCTCCTCCCCCTCCTCCTCCCTCCTTCCCTGCGTTTCACACACCCAGTACAGCGCTTCGTAGCCCCATTGGAGCTCCGCCGAAGGCCCCAGTGCTGCCGCCCGCATGCGTCACCCACACCCAATTCAGCACACCCCTCACACGTTTCGTGCCCCCCTAGGACCTCCGCCGAAGGCCTCAGTGCTGCCGCCCGCATGCGTCACCCACACCCAATTCGGCACACCCCTTACACGTTTCGTGACCCCATCGGAGCTCCGCCGAAGGCCCCAGTGCTGCCGCCCGCATGCGTCACCCACACCCAATTCGGCACACCCCTCACACCCGCTCCGCCGAACGCCACACCCAATTCGGCACACCCCTCACACGTTTCGTGGCCCCAGCTCAGTGCTCAGTGCGGCCCCAGCTCCGCCGAAGGCCCCAGTGCTGCCGCCCGCATGCGTCACCCACACCCAATTCGGCACACCCCTCACACGTTTCGTGGCCCCATAGGAGCTCCGCCGAAGGCCCCAGTGCTGCCGCCCGCATGCGTCACCCACACCCAATTCGGCACACCCCTCACACGTTTCGTGGCCCCATAGGAGCTCCGCCGAAGGCCCCAGTGCTGCCGCCCGCATGCGTCACCCACACCCAATTCGGCACACCCCTCACACGTTTCGTGGCCCCATAGGAGCTCCGCCGAAGGCCCCAGTGCTGCCGCCCGCATGCGTCACCCACACCCAATTCGGCACACCCCTCACACGTTTCGTGGCCCCATAGGAGCTCCGCCGAAGGCCCCAGTGCTGCCGCCCGCATGCGTCACCCACACCCAATTCGGCACACCCCTCACACGTTTCGTGGCCCCATAGGAGCTCCGCCGAAGGCCCCAGTGCTGCCGCCCGCATGCGTCACGCACACCCAATTCGGCACACCCCTCACACGTTTCGTGGCCCCATAGGAGCTCCGCCGAAGGCCCCAGTGCTGCCGCCCGCATGCGTCACGCACACCCAATTCGGCACACCCCTCACACGTTTCGTGGCCCCATGGAGCTCCGCCGAAGGCCCCAGTGCTGCCGCCCGCATGCGTCACGCACACCCAATTCGGCACACCCCTCACACGTTTCGTGGCCCCATAGGGAGCTCCGCCGAAGGCCCCAGTGCTGCCGCCCGCATGCGTCACGCACACCCAATTCGGCACACCCCTCACACGTTTCGTGGCCCCATAGGGAGCTCCGCCGAAGGCCCCAGTGCTGCCGCCCGCATGCGTCACCCACACCCAATTCGGCACACCCCTCACACGTTTCGTGGCCCCATAGGGAGCTCCGCCGAAGGCCCCAGTGCTGCCGCCCGCATGCGTCACGCACACCCAATTCGGCACACCCCTCACACGTTTCGTGGCCCCATAGGGAGCCCCGCCGAAGGCCCCAGTGCTGCCGCCCGCATGCGTCACGCACACCCAATTCGGCACACCCCTCACACGTCTCGTGGCCCCATAGGGAGCTCCGCCGAAGGCCTCAGTGCTGCCGCCCGCATGCGTCACCCACACCCAATTCGGCATACCCCTTACACGTTTCTTGGCCTCATAGGGAACTTTACCGAAGGCCCCAGTGCTGCCGCCCGCATGCGTCACGCACACCCAATTGGGCACACCCCTCACACGTTTCGTGGCCCCATAGGGAGCTCCGCCAAACAGGCCGCCGTGCTGCCGCCAGCATGCGTCACGCACACCCAAGTCGGCACACCCCTCACACGTTTCGTGGCCCCAAAGGGAGCTCCGCCGAAGGCCCCAATGCTGCCGCCCGCATGCGTCCCGCACATTCATTTCGGCACACCCCTCACACGTTTCGTGGCCCCATAGGGAGCCCCGCCGAAGGCCCCAGGGTGTTGCCGCCCGCATGCGTCCCGCACACCCATTTCGGCACACCCCTCACGCGCTCCGTGGCCCCATAGGGGATGCGTCCCGCACACCCATTTCGGCATACCCTTCACACGTTTCGTGGCCCCATAGGGAGCTCCGCCGAAGGCCCCAGCGGGTGTGCCCGCATGCGTCCCGCACATCCATTTCGGCACACCCCTCACGCGTTTCGTGACCCCTCACACGTTTCGTGGTCCCATAGGGAGCTCCACCGAAGGCCCCAATGGGTGTGCCCGCATGCGTCCCGCACACCCATTTTGGCACACCCCTCGCACGTTCCGTGGCCCCGTAGAAAGGGGCTCCACCGAACGTCCCAGTGCTGTCGCCCGCATGCGTCCCGCACACCCATGTCGGCATACCCTTCACACGCTTCGTGGCCCCAAAGGGAGCTCCGCCGAAAGCCCCAGTGGGTGTGGCCTCATGCGTCCCGCACGCTCATTTCGGCACACCCCTCACGCGTTTCGTGACCCCTCGCACGTTTTGTGGTCCCATAGGGAGCACCACCGAAGGCCCCAGTGGGTGTGCCCGCATGCGTCCCGCACAATCATGTCGGCACACCCCTCACGCGTTTCGTGACCCCTCGCACGTTTTGTGGTCCCATTGGGAGCTCCACCGAAGGCCCCAATTTCGGCACACCCCTCGTACGTTTCGTGGCCCCGTAGGGGGCTCCACCGAAGAAGATATTCACAACTGCGGGACTCTCAATTGCATATGGTTGGGTCCTTCGCCAGGGTATTTTTTTTTCGGGGCGGGGGGGGGCGAGAGAAAACCATCCCGTTGTGACGCTTTTTTCATGGAATCCCATTGCGCGGATTGCCAACATAATCCCGATAGGGGTGTTTTCCACTGCGTTCCTGTTAGAGGCGTTCCCATCGAATACCCTGCGCGGCGCTTCCCAAACAAATCCTGTTGTGAGGATTTCCCATCGAATCCCCTTTGTCGTGTTTCCAAATGATTCCAACTGTGATGGTTTCAATGTGTTCTGTTCCCCCCCAGGGAAATATCAAAATCCTTTTCTCTTTTTTTTTGGGGGGGGCAATCCTCTGTGGCACTTTCCAATGAAATCCCTCTGCGCGGATTTCCTATACAATCCCTGTGAGGTGTTTTCCAATGGATTCCTGTTGAGAGGCGTTCCAATAGAATTCCCTGCGGGGCACTTGTCAAAGGATTCCTGTTGTGAGGATTTCCCATACAATCCCCTCTGCGGTGTTTCCAAAGGATTCCCACTGTGACGGTTTCCAATGGAATGCCGTCGTGGCGCTTTCCATTGGATCTGTTGTGAAGTTCTCCCGGATAAGATGTTCGTAATGCTTCCCAATGTATTCCGGTTGCGAAGCTTTCCAATCGAATCGCTTCGTGGTGTTTTCCAACGGATTCCTTTTGTGATGCTTCCCTGTGAAATCTCCTTGTGGCGCTTTCCAACAGATTCCTGTTGTGACATGTTCCAATCGAACCCCTTTTGCGGCGCGTCCCAAAGGATTTCCACAATGATGATTTCCCGTAGAATCCCGGCGTTGTGCTTTCCAAAGCATCCTTGTTGCGAGGCTTTCCAGCAGAATCTTTGTGTGGTGCTTTCCAGAGGAGTCCTGTCGTGATGCTTTCCAATCGAATCCCTCTACGGCGCTATCCAAAAGATTCCTGTCGTGAGGCTTCCCAGTTGAATCCCTCTCTGATGCTTTCCGATGGATTCTATTTTGTGTTGTTTTCAAGTAGGAGCCTTCAGTGGTGCTTTCTGAAAGGATTTCTGGTGTGAGGCTTTCCCATGGAATCCCTCTGTGTTGTTTTAAAGGATTCCCACTGTGACGGTTTCCGATGGAATGCCGTTGTGGTGCTTTCCAATTGATTTCTGCTGTTAGGCTTTTCGCCCGAATTTCTGCGCGGTGGTTTCCAATGGATTCTGGTTGCGAATCCCTTTGTGGTTCTTTCCAACGGATTCCTTTTGCGCTGCTTCCGAATAGAATCCCCTTCTTGTGCTTACCAGATGATTCCCGTCGTGATGTTTTCCCATAGAAAGCCTGTGCGCCACGTTCCAAAGGATTTCCACTGTGAGCATTTCCCGTAAAATCCCGGCGTGGTGCTTTCCAAAGGATCCTTGTTGCAAGGCTTTTCAATCGAATCTCTGTGTGGTGCTTTCCAAAGAAGTCCTGTCGTGAGGGTTTCCAATCGAATCTCTCTGCGGCGCTATCCAAAGGATTCATGTCGTGAAGCTTCCCAGTTGAATCCCTCTGTGGTACTTTCCGATGGATTCAAATTTTTGGGCTGCTTTTCAATCGGAACCCTCAGTTGTGCTTTCAAACAAGTTTCTGGTTTGAGACTCTCCCATGGAATCCCTCTGTGGTGCTTTCCGATGGGTTCGGTTTTGTGCGGCTTCCCAGCAAGAACCCCTTAGTGGCACTTTCCTGTTCAAAAGAATCCCTGTGTGGTGCTTTCCAACGGATCACCTTTGTGGTACTTTCCAAAAGGAGCCCGTCGTAGCCTTTTCCAGAGAATTCCCCTTGTGATGCTGTCCGATAGGAGCCATTCGTGTTGTTTTCCAAAGGATTTCTTGTGTGAGGCTGTCCAAAACAATCCCTGTGTGGTGGTTTCCAATGGACTCCTGTTGCCAGGCGCTCTTATCGAATCCATGCTGTTGCGCTGTTCCAAGGATCTTTATTGCGAGGCCGTCCGGTAAAGCATGTTAGATAGCGCGCCGAAGGGTTTCAGCTGTTTGTTCCCATAGAATCCTTTTGGGGCGCTTTCCACACGATTCCAACTATGATTGTTTTTAACACAATGCGTGTTGCTAGACAGCGCTTTCCAAATTATCCCTGCTGTGAGGCCATAGAACGGAATTCCTGTGTAGCATGTCCCACAGTGTTCAAAGCCCCAGGCTGTCCAATCGAATGTCTTGTGTTGTCCAAAGGTTTCCTCCTGTGACGAATCCCAATACAAGCCCCCCGCAATGCTTTCTAACCGGTTTCGTTTACAACGCTTTCTAACAGAACCCTTGATTGTAATGGTTCCGAGCGGATTCCTGTTGCGAGGCCATGGGGACCACGTGGGGTGATTTCCGAAGAATTCCTGTTGCGGCAGCTCCAGTACAACCTTGTTTTGTGCTGTTCAAGGGATCTCTGTTCTGAAGCCTTCCGAAACAGTCTTTTAGATTCCTTTTCCACAGGATTCCAAGTTTAAGGTACCTTAACGGAGTCCCTTTGAAGCGCTTTCCAACATATTCCAAGTACGATTGTGTCTAACAGAATTTGTTTGTAGCGCGTTCCCACGGATCCCTGTTGTGAAGCCATCCACCGGAGTCCCTGTGTAGCACTTCGCACAGAATTCTGAATGCGAGGCTTTCCAATCGAATCCCTTTGTGGCGCTTTCCAAAGGATTCCTGATGTGAGGCTCTCAATAGAATCTCTGCGTGGCGCTTCTCAAAGGATTTCTCTTGTGATGCTTTCCAATAGAAGCTCTCAGCAGTGTTTTCCTAACGCCTCCGGGTATGAGGCTTTCCAATCGAATCCCTTGGTAGTGATTCCCGGCGGATTCTTGTTGCGAGGACATAGAATATCTTTGCTTCGCTGTCCACAGGGATTCGCTTGTGATGCTTGAAGGAGATGCATACAAGGTGTATGTGAGAGAGAGGCAGACGGGGAAAGCGAGAGAGGAAATATAAGGAGAATGGTGAGGACGAGGCTGAAAACTCGTAAAAACTCCCCTGGCGAAATTCCAGCCCCATGCCGTTTGGCACAGGGCTGAAGTTCCGAGGACCATGCTCGGGGGGGCATTTTTTATATGAAGAGGCTGTGAGAGAGAGAGAGAGAGAGAAAGACAGACATATATATATATATATATGGAGAAGAAGAGAAGAAGAAGATCACGATAAAGAGAACGAAACAATCACGACAACACTGCAAACAAACATTCAAAACAGTGAGGTCCGCCACAATCCACCGGCCTCGAGGAGGAGGAGGAATGGCAGAGAGGAAGATCTTCATACCTTCGACGAGCTCGCTAACGGGGTAGCCTCGGTAGAGACAGACCCCGTTCTTCCCGTCGATGAAGGTGATGGCCGAGGAGCAGGATCCCGTGCACGTGAAGCCTGGATCGTACGTGAAGAAGCCCGTCTTGGCGTTCAGATCCCGAATGTCCAGGAACTTGTCGTCTCCACAAGTCCCTCTGCGAACGCTGATGCCCGGAGATCGAAAAACACGCACGAGCACAAACTTCGGCCGTCCGCGCCCGGCCTCTCCGCCAAGTGCCGAACCCCCCCCCCGCGCGCGGAGGGCGAGCCTCGCACTGTGCGAAAGGCGCCGCTCAGGGGCGGCGGTACGGTGGAGACCCATGTCAAGACACACCCTGCTTGTCTCCAGGGTGCCCTGGGCTTCTTGGGCTTCGATGGCGTTCTGTGGAAAGCGTGGCGCTCCCACACAAAAAAATATCCGGGCGAAGGACCCATTCATATGCATTGGTGGGTACCGCAATTGTGAATACCTTCTTCGGTGAAGCTCCCTATGGGGCCACGAAGCGCTGCACTGGGTGGGGAGGAACGCATGCGGGTGGTAGCACTGGGGCCGTCGGTGGAGCTCCCTATGGGGCCTCGAAGCGCTGCGCTGGGTGGGGGGAAGTGAAAATGCCAAATTGGGTGCGTGGGACGCATGCGAACGGTCCATGGCTTCGGTGGAGCTCCCTATGGGGCCACGAAACGCTTTACTGGGTGGGTGAAATCCCACCAGCCCTCTGGGCGTCGGTGGTTTAGGGCGTTTCCTCTTCCACCCCTCCCTCTTCCCCTTCGGGGAGGGGTTTACCCCTCCCCCTACCCCCTCCCCACTGACCTGGACAGGAGGGGCGGGGAGCGGTCAGAGCGTCCAAAACGGCCTCGGCGAGGAAGCCAAAATCATTGATTTTACTATGGTTTGGGCCCCATGTTGGCCTTCTGAGGGGGCGACGCTAATTAACGCTCCCCTCTTCTTTGATCGATTTCCTCCACGATGGCCGCAAGAGGCCCCCAGGATGCCCCAAGAGGCCGCAGGATGGCCCCAAGATGGCCCCAAGAGGCCCCCCAAGAGGCCCCCAGGAGGCCCCCAAGAGACCCCCAAAAGGTCCCAAGAGACCCCCCAGAGGCACCCAAGGTGCTCCCAGAGGCCTCGGCGATAATGTCAAACCATTGTTTGCACTAAGGTTTTAGCCCCATGTTGGCCTCTGGGGGGGGGGCACTGATTAAGATGACTCCAAGAGCGCCTCGGAGAGCCCAAAATGACCTCCAAGATGGCTCAAGAAATCCCAAGATGTCTCATACTGGCTTCCTCTGTGTGCTGTCCACTTCCCTGATCGAGGCAATCCCACCAGCCCTCTGGGCGTCGGTGGTTTAAGGCGTTTCCTCTTCCACCCCTCCCTCTTTCCCTTCGGGGAGGGGTTTACCCCTCCCCCTACCCCCTCCCCGTGGACTTGGACGGGGGGGGGCCGCGAGCAGTCAGAGCGTCCAAAACGGCCTCGGCGAGGAAGCCAAAATCATTGATTTTACACAAAGATTTTGGCCCCATTTTGGCCTCCTGAGGGGGCAAAGATGGCCCCACGAAGCGCCCAGGAGGCCCCCAAAGGCCCCAAGATGGCCCCAAGAGGCCCCAAGAGGCCCCCAGGAGGCCCCAAATAGGATCCCGAACGGCCCACAGAGGCCCCCCCGAGGCACCCAAGACGCCGAAAAGCCCCTCAGGACGACCCTCTACTCGCCTGGGCGTCGTTTCTGGACGGGCTGGTGGGGATACGCGAAGCGTCTAGCATTGCCAACTTGGGTGTGTGGGGGACGCATGCGGGCGGTCCCACTGGGGGCTTCGGTGGAGCTCCTTATGGGGCCACGAAGCGCTCTACTGGGTGGGTGAAAATGCCACATTGGGTTTTCGGGACGCATGCGGACGGTGGCACTGGGGCCTTTGGTGGAGCTTCCTATGGGGCCACGAAGCGCTGTACTGGATGGGTGAACATGCCAAATTGGGTGTCTCGGGACGCATGGGGGCGGTCCCACTGGGGGCTTCGGTGGAGCTCCCTATGGGCCACTAAACGTTGTACTGGGTGGGCGAAAATGCCACATTGGGTTTTCGGGACGCATGCGGACGGTGGCACTCACTGGGGCCTTCGGTGAAACTCCCCATGGGGCCACGAAACGCTCCTCTGGGTGGGTGGAAACGCAAAATTTGGTGTTTCGGGACGCATGCGGGTGGTCCCACTGGGGCCTTCGGTGGAGCTCCCTATGGGGCCACGAAGTGCTCTACTGGGTGCGTGACACGCAGGGAGGAGGGAGGAGGGGGAGGAGGGGGAGGGAGGCAGGAGGAACGCGGGGACCGTCTCTTCGAAGCGAGGACCCAACACCACAGGATGGCTGAGATTATCCCGGCAAAGCAACCTAACAGCGATGTGTAGGAGCATATCTGGAAGCATTCCCCTTAAGATTCAGATGAGAATCCAGTTGTAGAATTCTGCTGTTCTCGCAGTCGTAGTCGCATTCGCGATGACAGTCGCAGTGCAATCAGCAGTCAGTCAGCCTCACAGGCAGCCTCAGCCTCAGCCTCAGCCTCAGCCTCAGCCTCAGCCTGCCTCAGCCTCAGCCTGCCTCAGCCTCCTCAGCCTGCTTCAGCCTCAGCCTCAGTCTGCCTTCAGCCTCGGCCTCAGCCTCAGCCTGCCTCAGCCTCAGCCTGCATCAGCCTCAGCCTCAGCCTCAGCCTGCCTCAGCATCAGCCTGCCTCAGCCTCAGCCTCAGCCTGCCTCAGCCTCAGCCTCAGCCTGCTTCAGCCTCAGCCTCAGTCTGCCTTCAGCCTCGGCCTCAGCCTCAGCCTGCCTCAGCCTCAGCCTGCCTCAGCCTCAGCATCAGCCTGCCTCAGCATTCAAAATGTGGCCCGGGAATGGAGTTCTGGGAACTCGAAGACCACGAAGTGGCCTACAGTTGGCTCCGGGCATTCAAAATGTGGCCCGGGAATGGAGTTCTGGGAACTCGAAGACCACGAAGTGGCCTACAGTTGGCTCCGGGCATCCAAAATGTGGCCCGGGAATGGAGTTCTGGGAAATGGAAGAGCACGAAGTGGCCTACAGTTGGCTCCGGGCATCCAAAATGTGGCCCGGGAATGGAGTTCTGGGAAATCGAAGAGCACGAAGTGTGTGACTGTTGCAGCCGGCCATTCAGAATGTGGCCCGGGAATGGAGTTCTGGGAAATCGAAAAGCACGAAGTGGCCTACAGTTGCATCCGGCCCTCCAGAGTGTGGCCTGGGAATGGCGTTCTGGGAAGTCGAAGCGCACGAAGTGTGTGACTGTTGGTGAAAAACGAGGTGGGCACAGGCCCGCCCGGCAACTCCCAACACCTGCCCGGACCCCCCTGTGGAGTGATCTGTGACCTCTTTTGATCCTACTAGAAACCTATCAGTCTTCGCTGTTAGGTAAAAAAACCCGTGGACGTCCTGGGGTCTCGGGGTTGGGCTTCTCGTGGAAGGCTGCCACTGTGGGCTGGCCTCCACTGCGGAATGGACCCCGACGCCCTGCGGAGCGGCGCCATGGGCGTGCGGGCGCCCCGAACGATGACGCCCGTGTGGTGTGCCCGGCCTCCGCGATAACGTGCTCCTTGCCGTCGCCGTACCTCAGGACTGCCACCTCGCCCTGCTCCTCCACGAGGGCCTCCCAGATTGGGTTCTCGCGAGCGGGGTCCGAGGATCGCGCCGCATCGCCGATGCAGCGGCGATACATCACCGATGCGTCGGCGCCATCGGCGTGTGGAACATCGGGCTCCACGTCGAGCCGCATCGCCGATGCATCGGCGATGCGGCACGATCCTCCGACCCCATCCACTCGGACTCCATCCAGGAGGCCTAGATCCTCTGACGCGTCAGGCGCTTCAGGCACTGTTTCATCCTGGCCACGAAAGCAGCGGAACATTTCTGTGTGAAACGCCGTGGGCCGCAATGGCTGCGGAGTTTAGTGAAGGTGCAGCTTGAAGGAAGGGGGGACGCAGGATCAGGAGGAGGAAAATCAAGAGAAAGACGTGGAGGACAAGGAGGGACAGGAAAGGGATGAGGAGGAGGATGCCGTCTTTGTCACGCGCCCGAAGAAGACCCCTATGCGATGGCAGTCTGCCCTGCATGGAACCGTGCCAACGCCGTGCTGGCCTGTCCCTCTTGTCTGCCCCATCTCAGAAGTGGTCCGACCCCCAGGAATAACGACGTGAACGTGCAATCCCCATCGCTTGGATGGTGAGGAAGAAGATGAGGAACAGGGGGAGGGGGAGGAGGAGGAGGAGGAGGAGGAGGAGCAACAGCGACAGCGCGAACAAGAACAAGGGCAGGACGATACAGAGCAAAACGCAGGAGCATGAGAAGAAGCATAAGCTGAATCAGTCCTGGGCGTCAAAATGACCCCTGGACCTAACCAAAAGAGCGTTCCACGCAGAGATTTCGAAACGAACCCACTCGTGACGACGAGAACCGCTGGAAGAGTAAGTGTCCGATGTGTGCCACACACACACATATCTATATATACACACATATACACATCAGCCACAGTGTCTCCTGCGCGTAGTGGAATGCCCCAAGGAAAAAGGTCCAACTCCGAGATGTGGATTTAGACTTTGTAAGTTCCGAATGGCTCGGACTAACATTTTCCCGGGATTCTTGGGCGTTCCTGTGCGTTCTCGGTTTTCTCGCGTGGGCCTCTGGGGTGGTGACACCGCCCAAAACGACGAGAAGCGCCAAAGAAGGTCCAAAGGAACCCCGAAACGGTCCCAGAGAGCCCTTGGACTGCCCACGATGCCTCGAGACGGCCCAACAGGCCCCCGTAGAAGCCACCACAGGGCTTCAAGATGCCCCCAAGAGGGCGCAAAAAGGGCCAAAAAGAGCCCAGAGCCTCGCAGACTGCCAACGACCCCGCCGCCCCTTCACTCATATCCGCAGTTGCGGGGTTTTACGTGACATGTTTTCCAGAATCTGTCCCAAGGGTGTCTGGGCAGCTACGCCCGCGGCGCCGTCGTGGCGCTGCTAACATCAGTTCAAAATCCATCCGGTGGCATTGGTTTTCAAGTGCTCGCTGCCTCTGTAAGTATACCATACATGTATGTGTGTACATGTGCTGGTGTAAACGTATGTTTGTACACATGTGTTCAGAAAAAGTTTGAGTCACTATGGACCCACAAACAATGTGTTTGTAGCAGCGGGTGTTGGGCCATCAGCGTGGGGCCATATATGTGGTGCGACTTGCGTGTTGGAGTCTACGCTGTGCAATCGACGTTGTGCAATCTACGTGGTACAATTCACCTTGCCGAACTTGAAGTTGTTGACTCCACTGCCCGCGCAATCATCCCACCCACCCACTCGCAACTTGGTTTGCAACACCCATGCGGACATGATTGCGCTGAATGCTTGGCGTTGGCTGGTGCGTCCCTGCGGCTGCACTGACCCGCGCATGCTCGCGCGCGCAGCGGCCAACCAGTTTGGC